GCTTACATTGGTACATATCCAAGAGATGAGCCCTCAGACCCCACTTGAAACTCCGGCGGCTGACAGCATGAAATTAGACGTTATCGCTGAAGCCTATATGCAGATGTATGAAATCGAGATCCAGGAAAACCTTGATCGAAAAACCGATGAAAATGAACAATGACGCTAAGACGAGAAGGATTACTTAATGATTATCCATCTCCCTCCCTGTTTTTCATTCCCATAATCACTCTTTCTCTTCCTAAAGCATATCTGCGGCAGAAAACATGAAAAGAAAAGCTATTTTCTGTGATCATGAACGAAAATTTCATGTTGGTCCCAGAGACAGTCTGCACAAAATAGTTCTGAAAGTGAAGGCTATCCGCGACATGGCCACTTAAGAAAACAAACCCTTTATCCAGAGTTTCAGCAAAACATTTTGAGATTATGTGGACGTACTAAATTGTGATACATGCCAGTATCGTCATTAACTAGGACCGGAAGTGGTGGTGTAGCAAGTGGCACGCTTACCACGCGCGCGGTCCGGGGATCAAATCCTGGGTCGTAGTCGCCCGGGCCAACCAAGCCTTCCATCCCACCAGGGCTGCACCAGACTTGACCGGGGGCCGTAAGGTATGCTTCCCCGAAGGGTTAGGGGACGAAAGTTCCTTTAAATTTTCTCTGTAGTCCCAACTGGGATTGTCCTGATAAAGGGCCTACATCTAATATACAGGGGGGGGGGGGCAAAAAAAAAGACATTTTGCCTATGTCGGACTTCGGCCCTTTTTTCTTCGCAGAGATTGCCGTCGTTGACGGGAGTTCCTCAGCAGAGTATTCCCTAAATGTCCCTCTATAAGTGAACGCAGGCCCTCCTTCACTGCCCTCACCGTCTTCAGAATATGACGTCATCTGTCACCGTCGTCAGCTCAAGGACTACCGTAACTGCTTCAGCCTGAAGCTCTTACGCAATTTCGTGAATCGATTCAATGTTGGATAGTTTTCTAGAGGCATTAGCTCCCACTATGCAAATCCCCTCGAAACTAGCTTTCCAGTAAAGGTCGTTATGGTACACGATCCTTCGAAGACCCCATTGAGCTCGACCAGTGCACCATGTTTCCAGGGCAAATTCTTCTGATGCCGTCCACGTAGGTGGCCAACATGAAGATTTTCTTATAGAATGAAATGTGCTCTTCAATATTAAGTTGGGAACACTCGGTCTCAATTGAGCAAAGTGTGCTTAAATCCATCTGAAAGTGGAGACAAAATGTCTTTTTTTATTGGCCCCCCCTGTATGATGTGTAGCTTAAAGTAAGCATGCATTGAAAATAAAGAAACGTTCAAAACAAAAAATTTCAAGGGACTTTTGTCCCCGCAACCATTCGGGAATCATACGGCTTACGGTCCGGAGATACATTATACGAAGTTATACGAACCAGTCCGCCATCGGTCGACAAGGAAACAAATGCCTCTCCTTCAAAATTCGGCAGGCTTCGAGTCGAAGAAGTGCCCATGTCCGCTTTCAACTATTGAAAGTTGTCGTAGTTTTTATCCTTTGAGAAGTGAGCCAGGGAAAGGAGTGGGTGGTAATCCGTAGGCGCAAGACCTGGCGAATATGGAGGATGGGGTAAAACCGCAGATCCAAGTTCCGCCAATGTGTCCTGGGTTAAAAAACTTGCAACTCTGCGGGTCACGCGGATGTCATTGAAAAAAAAACTGTCGTCATCTAGGCGAAGTTTCGCAACTTCAACTGCGAGCCTTCGTGGTTGTGAGCAGTACACCTCGGCGTCGACGATGGTATTGTCTGGCATCTCGTAATGACGTGTTCCCCGAACTCTCCACCAAACTGACAGAGGAACTTTCTTGGGATGAACCTCCTGCTTTGGAACAGGCTCTGGCTTCTGGTTCGCACCCATTCACTGTCTTCTTCTGGTATGACATAGGTAGAGCCCCCACCTTTCATCTCCAGTAATTACATTATCCAACCAGTCGAAACGGCGACTCCTTGCAAGAAAACCTCCGCACACCCCGATACCTCTTTTCTTGCAATGCTCTGTCAGCTCATGAGGGATCAATCGACCAAGTTTCTCAACTTTTTCCAGCATGTGATGAACACGACCTGTGGCCATGTTGAAGCAGTGCATCTCCTTTGCCAGCTCCATGGCGCTTGCATGCGGAAAGTCTTGAAGTAACAGCTCCAAACGTTCGAAATTAACTTTCGTTGGGCGTCCATCTTCGAGGTTGTAGTTTCCTTCGCGGAGCCTTCTGAACCAAAGTTGGCAGGTTTTTTCACTTACCACTCCCCCTACTTCCACAGAGCATATTTTGCGGCAGGCTTCGCTCGCTGTGTGTCCCATACAAAATTCGCAAAGAAGTCAGTGGCGTACATGGGTAGAAACTTATGGCATTTTCCAGGCTCCAAAAGGCCTGCAGGAGGTGAGACTCGGAAATATGAAGGGATGTTACCATTCCTGTATATGGTTAAAAAATTTCCCCTCCAGGTTAATGCGCAGCCGTTTGTCAGGACTTTGAAGAAATGCGCCAGGACTTTCGTTGCGACCTAATACTTCTGCACCTTTCTACAATGAATATTCAAGTAAAACAATTTATGGTCTTCACTTTGTTTATTATACAACATTCACCTTTAATTAAGTTAAAATCAACAACAAATTCTTGTAACAAATCATGAAATGTAAAAGATTGTGTGGAGTGTGCAGAACACATCGGATGGAAAACAATAGCTCCTGATGGTAAAACGAAGAATAAATAAAAAAAAGCATCCAAACAACAAACGTAGAGAATATGAACATTAATGATGACAGAGTTACCCAAACACTCGAGGATCGCCAATATTTTTTCAACATTTTGAGATTTTTCATACTCATACATATACATACAGAAATACGCGTACGATTACGAAGACAAGAAAATAACAGACAAGAGACCCGATCTACGTAGCTTACTATTGACTGAAACAGCATTAATGGACCATGACGACTTCTAAGCAAGGCTGTACCCGTGACTAATTTGAAAAATGAACTACCACTCAAACCATTTCACTACTTTGCGCTTACTTTGTGCGCGAACCCTATCTATTCACAAATATCAATGCAACAAGGCCGGCAAACCTATGATAATGAGCGCGAGATCACTCCAATTCGCCATCCTCAAGCTCCGCCATAGCAGAGGGTGGCGGAGGTGGTGGAGGGAGCACCGATGGTGGTAAAGGTGGAGGCGACAACGCTCGTGGCGGTTCCATAGCGCGGCAGAATTGTGATGAACTCTGTAATCATCATAACACTGGAAATATTACACTGCATCCCCACATGAGTGAATATCCACTTCCCAAGTTGTCTTCAACAGTCAAGCCACATTGCGAAAGCGTGAACGAACAGAGGAATATCGAAACTGAGCAAGACTACCATAAAAGCTTACTATGCTGACATTTAACATTTCTTCATATTAAGCGATCCATTTGTTTGTAACCGCCGGCTCATTAGTAATCTGTAAATGTAAACTTTTTCTGTCCAAAGCAATTAGTAACGAAGGCGAAGCAAAACTGTGAAGCATAGTGTGAAAAGCTTGAGTGCATATAGAACAATCACGCCACATAACCACAGCCATGCCAAACAAACATTAACCAATGTAATGATCAGAAACAAAAGCTTCCTTCCTCTGTGCAGTGTTGCGCTGCAGGGAAATGATTGCACTCAGTTTGGAAAAAAAAATACTAAATACTTCTTGCAAAGCAAAAGCACAGGCAAAAGCAGTTGTAATACAAGATGACGACGCAGCGATTAGTTTGGGGAAGTGTATTCACTCAGTGTTCGACTTCTTCAGCAAATCTTGAAGCGATCCAGCTGAAGCATTACCTTAATTATATCCTTATCGCTTCGAACATGTGAACCATTGGCCGTTTGATTGTGTCCATGAGCAGAAGAATGATGTTGCACTTGCACTGGAGCCATGGGCCGTGGTTTTGAAGAGGATCCACTACCACTACCGGAGGAACCAACCGCTGGGTGCGGGTAAGACGACGATGACTCGTGACGCGGTCTTTTCTCGCTAAAGCATTCAAATTATGACATGTCTGAAAGAGATATTTACACAAAACTAACGAAAGAAACATACGCAGGAGGGTGCAAACCGCTAGCTTGCCCACTACTCGTCATCCGCTCATGTTCACGTTTCCGTCGCTCTTCTTCCTTGCGTCGTTCCCTGTCTTCCGGACGTTCATGTCCGTGACGTTGCTCCCTTTCTTCACGTCGACGCCGCTCCTTTTCCCTTCTTCGCTCCTCTTCTCGTCTACTTTGTTCATCTCTTGATTTGTGACCATTTTCGTGCACTGGTACTGGTACTGCAAATTTGTTATGAAACGACGAGCAGTTCACATCAGCAGCTAAGTAGGAAATGCCTTTTTAAAATGCAAAAAATTAAAAAAGTATTACCGAACGATGCGTTGCATATTTTTCTGTTATGCCTCCATCTATTAGATTGGTCGGAAAGTTCCACCCTGACTCCGAACTACCCTGAGATCAGTGGTATGGAACTCACAGTTCTTCACTTTTTGCCTTTTTGCCGTTTCGAGTACCATCTTCTCTCGTTCTGGTAGCTTCTTGCTTCTCTCCTCTCAGAACGAGAAAGGATGGTACTTGAGGAGTTTGCCGATTGCCGCTATTGATTCATTCACGTTTCTGATAGAGTTTTCATCCATTAACGCTGGAAGAGACTGAAGATCCCGCCGTTGTAAGTTGCACCGTCTGGCTTTTTAAGAATGGGAGGTGACCATCCAGCCGTAGTTCTTCAGCTCGTGTAAAGTCGTCTTGACAACGTGGTAACGGGCGCTGTCGTGGTTCAATTGATGGCCGCTCCGGATCCATGAGAACGGTTCACGTGCGACTTCAGTTTTTTGGTCGTGCAACTCACGTGACGACGTCAATTGTCTCCAAAGTTAGCAAGAGCTTCCGGTACTCTATGCGGGCCTGGGAACACGAACGTAGGTGCGCGTTTTTCTACACTGATAACGAACTCCTAGTCTTCGCCTTACTTGAGCCACAGCCGCTCCTCCTGGTGTTCTCGAGAGGAAGGACCCGGGATGCAAACAGTAGAATATCTTGGGGGAACGGCTGTGACTCAACTAAGGCAGATCGTGAGCTTACCAGGAAGGTCTTTCAGGGCGTGACAAGCTTTTTGAAAACGGTCTTTTGCATGATATAGGGGCACATGCGGGAACCACAGAACCATGGTTTAATTTTTCCTGAACGGCCCTCTGAATACCAGAAAAGGGGTCCCTAGTTCGATTCCTCGTGGTGACAAATTTTTGCATTTCGAGTTGACGTTCCAAAATTCGCGCAAAATGGAGTTAGAACCAACCAGAACAATCAGAACTCCATTTTGCGCGAATTTTGGAACGTCAACTCGAAATGCAAAAATTTGTCACCAAGAGGAATCGAACTAGGGACCCCTTTTCTGGTATTCAGAGGGCCGTTCAGGAAAAATTAAACATGGTTCTGGTCCCGCATCTGCCCCTATATCATGCAAAAGACCGTTTTCAAAAAGCTCGTCACGCCCTGAAACCTTCCTGGTTAGGTAAGCCACCGCGTACTCTCACTATGTAAAAGAAAGACAAGGAAAATCTATCTCTTCAAATCAAAGCAATACTTGTATCTCGCGAGAGTCGACTTCTTATGAAACGTCGGAGGTGTGGAAGGGGGCCCAAAATTCCATTTCCTCTGCTCCAGCTCCGCAATGGTTTTCGACTTGGCGTCGATGGTTTCACTATGCCTTTTGCGACGAAACGAGTAAGAGCCAGCCATTCCCGACAGGACTTGTAAATACTCGCGAACTCTTGAGACATTTCTAAAAATTTATTTTTCGATAGAAAAAGAAACTTGCATTCAATGAGCAATGCAATTCATTAATCAAGCGAAACAATACCAGTTAGAAGGTCTTGAGTCATGTTAGGATCGAGCTTCTGGACATAGCTTTTCTCTCAGTAGCAGGGCGAATTGAAGTGAATTCATATGTTGTTCATCAACAGAGACACTGACTTAGTATAGAACGCTACTACTTTGTCAACGAATTCTATTCTGCAGTACTGCTCGAGGGCATTGGAATGACTATAGCTCAATTCTACTAGTAGCATAAAAAAATACCTTGTACTCCGAGAGGTCGACTTTCTTATGAAACGTCGGAGGTGGTGGAGGGGGCGGCAAAATTTCCTTTTCCTCTGCTCCACTCCGCGATGGGTTCGGACTTGGCGTCGATGGTTTCACTATGCCTTTTGCGACGAAACGAGTAAGAGCCAGCCATTCCCGACAGGACTTGTAAATACTCGCGAACTCTTGAGACATTTCTAAAAATTTATTTTTCGATAGAAAAAGAAACTTGCATTCAATGAGCAATGCAATTCATTAATCAAGCGAAACAATACCAGTTAGAAGGTCTTGAGTCATGTTAGGATCGAGCTTCTGGAACCATATGCTTTTCTCAATCAGTAGCAGTGGCGCATTGAGTGAATTCATATGTTGTTCATCAACAGAGACACTGACTTAGTATAGAACGCTACTACTTTGTCAACGAATTCTATTCTGCAGTACTGCTCGAGGGCATTGGAATGACTATAGCTCAATTCTACTAGTAAGACTTAGTGGTACGTAAAATCGACGGCAGCACCTACAAATTCAATTCATTAATACATGTTTGTCTACCATGACTATGCAAACTTGTTCTAAAAAACCGTCGTATTCCCCATTTTTGTTTTGATTAGTTTTACATTTAAAAACATGATTTTGTAATAGATAGATTTTCAAAACTATTCCTGACCCCAAGACTTATAAATACATAGGTAAGCTCGTCAGACGGCTAAGTTTGTATTCAGACCATGCACCGAAATTCGGAGAATACCAGCCCATCAAAAAAAAGAGAGCACAAAAGAGCGAAAATGAAAAAAAGGAATCCATACACTTTTATTACGGTTTCAAGTTTAGAAGCACCCCTATATATCCCATAATAAAACTTCATGGGCAGTCCCGCGACAAAAAAAGCTTATTACGTCGCAACAGCATATGGGGATTGTTGGAAGCCTTTACGCGACTCGTGAAAACACTGGTCATTTTTGCAGTTGACTTTTATAGGGGCCGTTTCATAACTACAGACACAACTCGAAAACATAGACAAAACCAGATCCTTCACAGAAGAAAGTCAACGTGCCAGAAACCAATAATTAGAAATGAGTGCCATGCATGATATCGTCAGATGCCACGAGGTTCGCAGCTATCTGGTCGAGCAAGCTCAGATTCCGACCTCCAAAAATGGTCTCCAACTACGCCAGGCCAGAAGCAGCTTATCCACGCAACTTCTATCAAGTGCGGCGGCCGCCACTTCATTTCCGGTGACACGCCAAATCAGACTTCGAGAAATCGACAGTAAGAACTTTTTTAAAATTTGTTTTCACAGTTGTCAGCATCATGGAGTTATCAGGATTTTGAAGTGCGTCTATCGTTACAAAACGGCCACAAACAGGGTTCAAAGCCTGTATGCTTATGACTTTTCCCGAGAACAGGGGAAGAATTGTTAAGTAAGACAATAAGAGCCGATAGACATTCAGTACTACTATGTTTGCATGTGGTTTGCTTGAAATATGTTCTCTTGAAATTATGTGGACAAATGTTCGGGGTGTATCTGTCTTTAAACTACCAAATCTCTCTATTTTCCCAACAAAACAACTTTAGATGCGTTCTCGACTTGTGCAGTTCACGCCCTGAAATCACCAATCCGTACGGTAACTGCGTCTCAAAAAACAAAAGGCTATTTCGAGTTTCCGAGCTCAGGGCAGTGAACTGTCAAGTTTTGGAGTCAAAAATATGAATTCAAATAAAAACTTCAGAGGCTCACAATTGACATACCTCTGCTTCGTGTCATGAATGTTTGCCCAAATGCCCCGAGAAACTTGCCAGCGGCTAAGAGAATTGGTGGGACCGTGTGCGGGCCGTGCCAAATCAACGTGAAAGTTTTGAACACGTGATGACACTAGAACCCTCCCGCACATGATCGCATCCACCAAAATCACTCTCGGCTCGCATTACAAAGCGCGCTCTAGGCAGAATGGGAACAAGGGTTGACCAGCACCTCGTATCCGGCGTACACGCACACGAGATGCACGCAAACGCTGGCTATTGCACTCGCGTTGTATCGTATCGCCCAATTCGTCACGCATAACCTGAAAAAAAAACATAGCTGACCAACAGTACGCTTTTAACATAATAACATTTGAACCGCAACGAACTGATCTCTTTAGTAAAAACAAATTGAACTAGATTTATGGTTTTGCATCTTCTTACACAGCGCTGGTACACCTGGTAGCAGCAGTTCGCAAAGCATAGTTCGCAACAACAGTTCGTGGCGCATTAAAGGAGTCAGACGGCTCAATATTGCATGAGCGTAAGTAAATGGCCGGTTTACTGCGATGCGTTAAATACAGTTTACTTAGATTTGCGCGGCATTGCTTCACGTGTCAAAGTTGTCAGTTTACAGTCTGAAAAAAAATTGGACAAAAAAAACCTGAGGCTGGCGTCAAGTTTTGCCACTTGCGAAACTATCCATGAGTCCAACAAGCAATTAGGTAACCCGCCGGAGAAGAGGCGAAGGTAGCTCTCGTTTTTTAGCGTCTGCTAATTGCGAAGCTTTTTTGATTTCCAAATAAGATGCTAATTCAAAGCTTGAACAAAAAAGTAGCCTAGGAGATGTCAGAAGGAGGCAATGGGGAGGGAGCTTCCACACAGGCCCAATTCTTTCAGAATTTACCTGAACTTCTTGAAGTTAACGCTTTTTATGAACAAGGCCCCTTCTCCTTTCGCTGTTACGTCGACGATTTTCTGCACCCTTCTATAAGCGAAAAGAAGCCACTTTGTCGCTTTTTCATGTAAAAAGATGGCGTATGAACGAATCTCCAAGCTAGTGATTCAACAACAGCCATGACTTTCCCTAAGCTGCTCTGTTGCCTCCGCTTATTATCTTTTCCATCCATTGTCTGAAGAAACAAGGATCTTTCATCTGCCGTAAAATATTGGAAATAAAGCCGTAAAGACGAGTGCGGAAAGACTGCATCCATCAAGTTTTGCCAACCTGCGCAAAACTATCGCATGAGTTCCAACCAAGCAATTTAGGTAACCCGCCGGAGAAGAGGCGAAGGTAGCTCTCGTTTTTTAGCGTCTGCTAATTGCGAAGCTTTTTTGATTTCCAAATAAGATGCTAATTCAAAGCTTGAACAAAAAAGTAGCCTAGGAGATGTCAGAAGGAGGCAATGGGGAGGGAGCTTCCACACAGGCCCAATTCTTTCAGAATTTACCTGAACTTCTTGAAGTTAACGCTTTTTATGAACAAGGCCCCTTCTCCTTTCGCTGTTACGTCGACGATTTTCTGCACCCTTCTATAAGCGAAAAGAAGCCACTTTGTCGCTTTTTCATGTAAAAAGATGGCGTATGAACGAATCTCCAAGCTAGTAATTCAACAACAGCCATGACTTTCCCTAAGCTGCTCTGTTGCCTCCGCTTATTATCTTTTCCATCCATTGTCTGAAGAAACAAGGATCTTTCATCTGCCGTAAAATATTGGAAATAAAGCCGTAAAGACGAGTGCGGAAAGACTGCATCCAGACAATTGTACTAACCGCGCAAAACACTGCAGAATACTAACTACAAATAAAACAACAGTTTGGTGTGGTTGACTGTTTGTTCGTCTGTCTGTCACATGTTACCAATCCAAACTAGCAGGCTGCGCAAAACCGAACGCGGGAAGTGAACCACATCGCTAGGTGAATTAGGTCAGTGATTTTCTCACAGGCCCTGCTCGAGCAGCTACGGGTCGCGAGCGGTATCGTGAGCCCAATACCTGGCGAATGGAGAGCACAAGCCACAGACGATTGAAAAAAAAAACAAGGCGGCATGAAATGAGTTGGCCGCATATTTCTGAAATCTTCTGCAGAATCGCCACGCAATCACTCTTATGTGCCAACCAATGCGTCATTAAGATCCGAATAATGATTGTAGGACCTGCTATAAACATTTTAAGGGTATAGATTACACATTATAAATCCGCTTACGTGAGCGTGACAGATTTTCGAAATTTGCCAAGTACTGCTAAAGCTTGAACCGCAATTCTATTGCCAAAATATGTTCCAGAAATTAGTCGTATTCGGACCGTAAGGGTCACTTTGAAGCATCGCTTTTCCACTTATTCCATTGATTCAGAATTTGTTTCGCTCAACAAATAAGCGTCACCTTATTCCTGCTGTCCGCGCTCTATCCACTTTGTTAAAATGCATCACCTCCACGTACAACGCATATCGTGAAATGTTCTCACATATAGTGGCGAGGGCTTTTTTTGCCTCAAGCAGCGTCAAAAGTGAAGTATTTAGAAGGGATTCTACCACAAAAATGGTTCGTCAGTTCGTTACGCCCCATGATATAATTCTAAAACTCACACGTCGGTAGCGAAGAAGTACGCACACTCTGTGAGTTTCTTGTTATCTGAAAACATGAACACTATAAGCCATTGATTACCCAGCAGATACAGTACAATGTTGAAAAAGTCTTACTGGGGGCAATCTCGTGCATAGCGGCAAGAACGAAGGGATGAGGCATCTCCACCTTCAGATCAAATGCTGAACATAATCTCTGAGTGGCTTACTCTCTTAGATTTTGCTCATGATTGATATATGTAGAGTGCTCAATCAATACCAGCCACAACCAGAAGAACAAGGAAAACTCACCTATCGTTTGAAGGATAATGTTCTCCAACTGCACAATTAGTTGCGCCGCCTCGACGTAATGCTATAATCCACTCATAAGTGGAACGGAAAATGAGGATCAGAATAATATAGATGAA